GTTCAAGAAACAGCAGATTGTTCTGTGTTGCTGGAATGCAGGCCTCAAGGGGATATTTTGGGTAGGAGATGGGGCTAGAAGTATTGCTTGGTACCAAAAAGGACCTTGCCTTAAATGTTATGCTGAAGTTCATCTTGATTCTGTGAGCGGCAGTAAGGCATTCAAGGAGAATTATTTCAATTCCTTATTATTTCCAAATAGGACAGAGGAAGGTGGAAATGAGAGAAAGATACCAAAAGAAAGATAAAGATTCAGCAAATATTTTTATTGCACACCTAATGTACTACATTGAATGCTGATGATTCAGCAGAGGGCAAGACAAAGAAAGTCCTTACTTTCATGTAGCCAACATCCTAGTGAAAGGGGTAGGCAGTTAAACCATTAAACCAACACCTATGTGAAGAGTTGAGTACTTTCAAAGAAAAAATATTTAAAGCAGAGTAAGGAGATAGGAAATGATGGGGTGGGAGGTAGACTATTAAAGATGGGTTGAAACTTGAGCAGAGACCCCAAAGTAATGAGGAACTGAGCCCTGCAAACATCTGGGGAGAGTGCTTGACTGAAAATAGCAAGTTCAGCGGCCTCAGAAGAGCAGGCCTGCAGTGTTAGAGAAACAGCACAAAGGTCAATGTAACCTGCCTGACTTAAGTTGTAAAAGGATCATCCTGGCAGCTGGGTGAACAATAGATTGCAAACTTGTGTGTATTTCATTTCACATGTGCATGGGCTTATATGTAGAATTAATTCCCGGAAGTAGGATTTCTGGGTCACAGGGCAAATACATTTGTAATTTTCATGGATAAATTGTGAAATTTCCATCCAGTCTCCACTTCCACTAGCCATGCTCAAGACTCCTGTTTCTTCACAGCCTCACCAACACTTAGTAAAGCTTTGTAGAGGTGGGAATTTTCTTTAATAGTCAGAAGACCCAAAATCAGGATGTTGGTAAGGTTACTTTCCTTGGGGAGGCTCTAGGAGACATCCATGTCGTTGTCTTTTCTAATTTCCGCCGTCATTCCTCACCTCTTGACCCCAGCCTCCCTATTCCAGTTCGGGAGCTTAACATCTTTCAACCCCTCTCTCCTCTGTCATCATATCTCCTGTCTGACCCCAGACCCTGCTGCTTTCCTCTTAGAAAGGTCCTTGTGATTACCTTATGCCCACCCGGTTAATCTGGGATAATCCCTCCATCTCAACATCCTGAATTCAGTCACATCTGCAGAATCCCTTTTGCCATGTTAAGGTAACATTTGGGAAGAGGGGGTGTGGGGGACACAGACATTATTAGCCTACCACAGGGTGATTTGCCAGTTGTCTATGATAGAAAATGCAAATACTGGGGCTCCTGGGTGGTTCAGTCGGTTGGGCGTCTGACTTCGGCTCAGGTCACGATCTCAAGGTTTGTGAGTTTGAGCCCCACTTCGAGCTCTGTGCTGAAAGCTCAGAGCCTGGAGCCTGCTTCGGATTCTGTGTCTCCCCCTCTCTCTGACCCTCTGTTCATGCTCTGTCTCTCTCTATCTCTCCATAATGAATAAACATTAAAAAAAAAAATTTTTTTTTTAAGAAAATGCAAATACTTTGGGGCCCCTGGGTGGCTCAGTCTGTTAAGCATATGACTCTTGGTTTTAGCTCAGGTCATGATCTCCCAATTTGTGAGGTCTAGGCCCAAGTTGGGCTCTGTGCTGACAGCACAGATCCTGCTTGGTATTCTCTCTCTCTCTCTCTCTCTCTCTCTCTCTCTCTCTCTCGCTCCCTCGCTCCCTCCCTCCCTCCCCACACACATGTGTTCTCTCTCTCAAAATAAATGAACTTTAAAAAAATTTTTTTCATCTTTTAAAAAAAAGGAAATGCAAATACTTTTCCTCCTTGTCCTTTGTCTTCTAACATTGCTTACGGTTTTGTGGTTGTTTTGCTTTTGCTTTTGCCATTTGGAGTTTATCCTGATAAATGGTGTAAATGCAGATATGTCTATTGTTTGTTTGTTTCCAGATAGCTATTTGGTTGTAGCAGCACCATTTACTGAAAAGTCCAACTTTTCCTACAAGTTAGTAAATGTTTGTATATAGTTTGATTTCTGGACTTTCTTTTTGGTTCAGTTGTCTTTCTGTCTAAAAAGTACACATTCTTTTAAATTACTAAGGCTTTATAGTATAATACGTGATATCTTTATAGTTATAATATCTGGTAGGGCTGGACATCTATCGGTGTCCCCATCTACCCCCCCACCCTCCCCCAACCATACACATGGCTATTCTTGTTCATGGTTTTCCTGCCTACTTTTATTATGTTTGTTCCATGTGAACTTTAGAGTCAGCTTCCCTGGTTTCAGGAGGAAAGAAAGGTCTTTTTAGTTTAATTGGAGTAAACTTTATGAGGTTGGACTGTACCGTCTTTAAATATGATATGTTTTTATATTCTTTAAGGTAACTTGTGTTCCTTCACTAGTATTTTAGCAATTCATTCGTATCAGTTTTTCACATTTCTGAGTTTATTCCCAGCTCTTTAATCTTTCTTTTCATTGGATATAATGGAAGAAAAGATCCTATTTATAATACTTTGTGATTACTTTTTATGCATGAAAGTTATGGTTAATACATTTATCCTATTAACTATAAGTTTTGTGTGTATATATACGTATGTGTGTGTATATATATATGCTGCTACTTTATTGAATTAACTTCTTGTTTATAGTAGTTTGTAGTTGAGTCTCCTAGTTTTTCCCAGTATACAATTACATTGTCTTCAAACAGCGATAGTTAAAAGCTTCCTTTCTAATATTTATCCATCTCTTCTTTTCTTGCCTCTTCCTTTACACTGTTAAATAACAGTGGTGTGCATCTCTCTTATTCCTGACTTTATTAGGAAAGACTCATGTTCCTTCATAAAGTATTTGAAGACTTTGGGGCTGACACACATACACACACATATGCACACATCATATTAAAGAAATATACATCTGTTCCTCTTTTATTTAGGTTTTTTTTCCCATCAAGAATAGGAGTTGAATTTTGTCAAATGCTCATTTAGTTTGTATGGAGAGATAATATGATTTCTATCTTCAGTTTATTAATATGGTATGTTAACTTTGCACATTTAAAAATACATTCTCAAATTTCCAAAATTAAATATGTTGTGATTCATACCTAATGTTTTATAATGCACTTTATTCACTGTTTCTCCCTTGGATGGCCTTTTTTATTATTACACAATGTTATGTTGCACATTTGTAACTCTTGCCACAAGTGGAACTTTCTCTTTGTTTAAAGGCACAATAAATAAAATAAAGCTGACAATTTGATCTGACCAGTGGGTGGAAGGTTCCCCTCTGGATCTGAGCTGACCTTTTCATGATCCCATTTTCTTATTATTTTTTATATTTGTCCTCAAATAATGATGGAAAGAGAAGGATTATGGTATGGGTGGCAGGAAGTGAAGTGTTTTAGTTAATCCTTCTGAATGGGTTCTAGTTAGTTTGAAGTTTCAAAGAAATACCATAAATGAACATTGTTTTATATACTTTGTTCATCATTTTTGTCCTCAGAGAGCCCACTGCCTAGAGCAGCCCCATCCAGTAGGGCAGCCACTAGCTCCTTGTACCTGCTGAGTACTTGAGACGTGGCTAGTGATGTGTTGTAAGTGTAAAATACACACTGGTTTTGAAAATTTAGCATAAAAAATATAAAATATCTCAATAATTTAAAAACATTTGTTTTAAGTGTTTATTTATTTTTGAGAGAGACAGGGTGTGAGCAGGGGAGGGGCAGAGAGAGAGGGAGACACAGAATCTGAAGCAAGCTCCAATCTCTGAGCTGTCAGCACAGAGTCTGACACAGGGCTTGAACCCACAGACTGTTAGATCATGACCTAAGCCAAAGTCAGACACTTAACCAACTGAGCCACACAGGTGCTGCTATAATATCTCAATAATTTTATATGTTGAAATAATATTTTGGATATATTAGGATAGATAAAATGTCAGTAAGATTAATTTCACCTATTTCTTTTCACTTTTTAATGTAACTACTAGCAAATTTTATTTTATTTTACCCTTTTTAAAAGTTTATTTATTTTGAGAAAGAGAGTGTGTGCATATGCACACACTTGCAAGTGGGGTATGGATAGAGAGAAAGAGAGGGAGAGATAGAGAGAGAGAGAGAGAGAGAGAGAGAGAGAGAGGGAGGGAGGGAGGATCCCAAGCAGGCTCCACACCCAGCACAGAGCCTGATGCAGGGCCAATCCCACAAACCATGAGATCATGACTTGAGCTGAAATCAAGAGCTGGACACCCAAAATGAGCCACCTAGGCTCCCCACTACTAGCTAATCTTAAATTACATATGCAGCTTACATTATATTTTTAATGGACATCACTGGTCTAGAGGTAGTAAGTATGTGTGAACTTATAAATACTACAATGGTTTTCATAATTTAAAAAGATGAAAGTAAATAAACTACGCTTATATATACTCCCTTTTCTCCTTGTTTCTCCTTATAGGAATAAACTTGGGTGATAATATAATCTAATCATACTCCGTTACAATGGGTTACCTCCTCTGTGATTTTTTTTTATTGAACTGTTTCTAAGAGAATGCAGTTTCTTCATTACGCCCTTGACATTTCCACATAAGTTAAAGGTAACAGGCATCTTGTGTTTTGGCATAGCAGCACTCAAGAGCTCACGTGAATATAGAAGGGAGTTAGTTTGGAGGTCCAAGTTTCTAACTTTTCTTTATCCTACATAAATTGTAATAGAAGTTTCCTGGTTCAAAATAAAATTTGCTTCTGCATTTCTTTCATCTTTCCCGCCATTACCCCAAAACAACAGTTCCCACCCCTTAGTTCTCTGTAGGTAGAGCCAAGGTTCTGCATCTTTTAGTTCTGTCTTGTGGCAATAGCCTGAGTGTTTTGAGGACTTCATTTCTTAACTCTTATATTCTTCAAAAACCAAAACAATTACTCCTAAAACGTTTTTTTAACTCCTGGCTTTGTCGCGTTTTTTAGGAAAATCATATCACAGAAGATATTGGAATATCAACTTGGAAGGAACAGACTTTTCTCTCCCATGGTGCCTTATTAGCAAAGAGCTGCCAGGCTGCAATGGAATTAGCAAAGCATGATGCTGACGTTCAGGATATGGCATTTCAGTATGGGAAGCACATGGCCATGAGTCATAAGGTATTTGCACATTTTTTCTTTTTCCAGTGCTTAAATAGCTAAAATGATACATAAGAAACCTCCTGCCATTTAATAAGCTGCTTTTATATCTCAAAAAAAAAAAATGTTTATTGTGTGTTTAAAATCTGTCAGTCATAGATGGTGATTGTTATGTAATATAAACAGTGTGAGTGGTGAGTACTGTGTAATTTTGATAGAAAGCTACAGCTGACTTAAACCATATTTGTGATGTTTGTCTTTTCTTACCACCTGAAAGGGTTCTTGAGAGAACTCTTACAAATTATTAAATAACCTGTAATGTTGCCCTTTACAGAATGAGAGATCATTTGTGTTTTTGTTACAGTTCCCTTAAAGTTCCCTTATGTAAAACAAATTGTGGAAATTTAATGAAATTTAAAAATATACTGAGTAAAATCGAAAGCCTTAATTCTAATACTTGGTCCTTTTGAATGGGCATACTGAAATATAAAAAGTCTTGAGGTTAGCTGTTATATTGTTGCCTCTGTACATATGTAACTTAAAGATTCCATTTAATATATATTTCTTAGATGTTACTTAAATAGCTCATAAGAGAGGAGAAAATAGATATATACGTTATATATATACATGCATGTATATATATATATGTATGTAATATCTCCAGATGAGTTTTTATATATTTTATTAAATCTTAAATTTTATTAAACAATTATGTTCATTAAAACTTTATTTAAATTCTTGTTTTTTGGGGCGCCTGGGTGGCTCAGTCAGTTAAGTGTCTGACTTCAGCTCAGGTTACGATCTCACAGTCCATGAGTTCGAGTCCCGCGTCGCGCTCTGAGCTGATGGCTCAGAGCCTGGAGCCTGCTTCCGATTCTGTGTCTCCCTCTCTCTCTGCCCCTCCCCCATTCATGCTCTGTCTCTCTCTGTCTCAAAAATAAATAAAAACGTTAAAAAATTTAAAAAAAAATTCTTGTTTTTAATTTAAAGAGTAAAAGCAAAGTCTGCTGCCAAATAGAAAAGGAATATGTCAGGAAAAAATTATCTTAAAGAATTTTAAAGATTGCTGTTAATCATATGAACTGTTCTTTTGCTTAGTAAAGTTCATCTAAAAGCTGTATTCCTTAAGCTTCATTTTCCCTGCATTAACTGGTGCTTTCTGAAAGGACTAAAACATAGTAGTGTGTATGCATCTTACTGATTTAACTCTTTTGACTACTCCTCCTAGATAAATTCTGACCTCCAGCCTTTTATTAAGGAAAAGACCAGTGACTCCATAACTTTTAATCTCAACTCAGCTCCTGTGGTCTTACATCAGGAGTTTCTTGGAAGAGACTTGTGGATTAAGCAGATCAGAGAGGTAAAATGAAATTATTCCTATTTTGGGCATCAGTAGAGTAGTATTTAGTTGATTTTAGAATATAATTCATATTTCATGATGATCTAAGATTATAGAACAGCCATATAAGAGCATTTATAATCCACATTTTTAAAAGGCAAATGTTAGTTAAAACTTAGAGATTGAACTGCTGTTATTATCTGAGTTCTTAGAATACTGCAACACAAAACTAGTGCCTGTGGTGGATGCTAATTAACTCAGATAATTTTTTTTTTTCTAAAGGCTTTCAAAAATTGGGCTATGGTAATAGCACCACCCTTTAACTGACGGCAATTTCCCATCTGCAGACTCTAGCACAAGCTGCAGAATTCCAGAAGCTCCGTCTGTCAGCTCATTGGGTTATTTTAAAACAAACTTGGACCCTGAATACTCAAATTCTGAGGTATTACCACAGGAAAAAAAAAAAGCATGGTGAAGTGGGAGGGGTACAGAGGCTTAAATTGGGTGAATTTCTTACTTTTTTGCAGGAAAGAAGGTATAAAAGATGAAAGGGAACTTTTTTGCTTTTCTTTTAATCCAGAAACTCTGGAATGATAAATTCTTGCCCTTTTACCCAAAGCCTCATTGAATTTATTTAACTTTGTGGTTCTAATCGATTGGGTTAATGTGAGACAAGGGACAGTAGGCAGAGGGGCGCCTGGGTGGCGCAGTCGGTTGAGCGTCCGACTTCAGCCAGGTCACGATCTCGCGGTCCGGGAGTTCGAGCACCGCGTCAGGCTCTGGGCTGATGGCTCAGAGCCTGGAGCCTGTTTTGGATTCTGTGTCTCCCTCTCTCTCTGCCCCTCCCCCGTTCATGCTCTGTCTCTCTCTGTCACAAAAATAAATAAACGTTGAAAAAAAAAATTGAAGAGACAGTAGGCAGAGCTGAGGGCAGGGACAGCTGCCATACTTAAAGCAAAGAGAGCCTAAGTCATCTGCATTTGGAATGGTAAGATTTCCCCTCTCTTAACCCTCTTCCCTCACTGGCTTTCAAAATGCCATCAGCCAGCCTCACATCCCTCATATTCACCTGATAAAAGATGAGAGGATTCCTTTTTGGGCAAGAAAATATAAAAATATGAAAGCAGAATTTTTATAAATTAGAAGAACAGAAGATACAAATGAGAAAATCTCCCAGAAAGTTGAACAGAAAGTCAATAGAAGATAGAAAAGATGAGAAAATTTTGAGAACCAATTCAACAGATCCTATATACTCTTAGGAGTCCCAAAGAGAGAAAACTGAAAATGGAGTTAAGAAAATTAACAGCAACAAAAACTTGTAAAGAGAGGTGCCTGGGCGGCTTAGTCAGGCGTTCAGCTCTTGGTTTTGGCTCAGGTCATGGTCTCACAGTTCGTGGGTTGAAACCCTGTGTCGGGCTCTGCGCTGGCAGTGCAGCCTGCTTGGGATTCTTTCTCTCTCCCTGTCTCTCTCTCTCTAAAAATAAATAAACTTAAAAAAATTGTAAAGAAAAGAAAAATCCTGAGAATTGAAGGACCTAAATTTCCAAGTTGAAATGGGGCTCTAAATAATCACATCATTATCACGTCTTGAAACAATGGGGATAAAAAGAGATCCTAATGCTTCCAGGAAGAGAAAGAAAAACCTACATACAAAGGATCGAGACTCAGAAAGGCCTCTCAGTAGTGGCATTGAAAGATTCAGGACAATGGACTAACATCTTCAACATTCAAAGAGAAAATTGTTGCCAACTTAGACTTTTGTGACTGTCACATTATCAAGTGTGATGTTAAATAAAGACAATTTAAAACGGAAACACAAGGTCTCAAAAAACGGACTTCCCAAGCATCTTTTCTCAAGGGATGTATTTCAGGTGCTGTGTTTTATTAAGACAAAGAAGTAACCAAGAGAAAGACATGGAATCTAGGAACGAGGGGATCAGACATAGGCATGAGGCAGTGGGAATTCCAGGGATAGCATGAAAAGAAGCATAATAAACAATAATAATGCCAAGAATAAGAGCACTTACGATGTGTCAAGCACTCTTCTAATGAGGAAACTGAGGCACAGAGAAATTAGCTTGTGCAGAATCACACAGCTAGCAAGCAGTAGAGCCAGGATTTAAACCCAGGCAGCCTGGCTCCAGGGCCCACATCCTTAAGTTATAAGTAACATGCTACACTCTCTCATCCAAGCAAGTCCTAGGCTGGTGGCTATGTACCCAGTCCAGATTGGGACAAGAGGACAGAGATCTCCAGGAGAAATTTCTTTAAGGAAATCAGTGGAACTAATATACTTGACAATATTGAGAATTTAAAGACAAATTAATGATAGATGCATAGAAAACTAAGTGTTCCAGTTACTGTTGCTGCATAACAAATTACCCCCAAAACTTAGCTGCTTAAAATAACCATGTGATTATGTTCATGTTTATTAAACATTTTGTGAGTCAGGAATTTGGACAGAGCACAGAGATGACTGCTCCATGACACGTGGGGCCTCAACTGAAATGACCCAGATGCTGGAGATGACTCAGCAGTGCTGGGCACTGGAATCATCTAGAGATTCAACTCATGCCAGGCTGCTAGACTGGGATGTCAGACTATATTACTGACCAACCAGAGTGCATACACGTGGTTCCTCCATTTAGCTTGGCTTCCTTGCAACATGGCAGCTTGAGAATAGTCAGAGTTCTTACTTGCCAGTTCGGAGCTCCAAACACAAGTGTTGCAGCAAACAAGGCAGAGATTGCATCTTCTTTTATGACCAGCCTCAGAAGTCACACACACAGTCATTTACGTAGTCTCTTAAAAATTTTATATAGTTTGTTATAGTAATTCCACTTCTAATAATCTTTCCTCAAAAAATATCAGATGTGAACAAAGACTTACATATTAGAATATGCACTAAAATTCTAATTCTAAAAGGAAAAAAGTGGAAGTTGATTCATTTAAAAATAGTAAAAAGAATTAAATGAAGTATAGTACAATGAATATCCTACAACTATTCAATATTGTATTACTGGGGTGTATTTGTGTGTTTTTTGACAGCTGAACCAAAAATATATATACAGATGGTGTTAGTAGCTCTAATTGGGTTACATTAGAATACATTGCAGATTTACATTTTGGTTGAAAAGATCCAGCTAAATATGTTGAATGGAAGCTACCAACTCTCCCTGGGCTATTTACATATATTCATATATATATATATATATATATATATATATATATATATATATATGTAGCAGAGATCTGAATTTTAAAGAAGCTTCACAGAAGAGGGACATATTTAACTTTTAGTTTCTTTGCAAGCATACAAAGTCGTAAATGTAGACAACATGAGAATCCAGGATTTCCTAAACAGCTGGTGAAATACTCCCAAATCATTATCTCCAACTTGACTTTACATTTTCAAAGGGATATCCTTTCCAAATCGCCAGTGCCTTAGCCAGTAACTCAAATAAATAAAATATATCTTGTCCAGAGGTCAGTAAATCCTGCCAGGATGATGGCTGTGAGTAGGTGACATCCTATCCTTCAGCCTAGGTTCCCTGTGATGCTATCTAGATCTTCATCCTTCAAGAAAGACTGGCAGTCTATTGCCCATCTCAAGGACCTGCCAGGCTGCTGTGGTTTGCTCCAAGTGACTTCAGACCCTTCTCCATGTTCGAGTTATGTACAGGACCACTGGTGAAGAGATTAATTCATCTGAAACAAATAAGAAATAAGAAGTTAGTTTTTGTCATGCAAGGGGATACATTCCTCAGATTAAAGACTCCTTGGTTGAGTTTATTTTAATCTTCTAAATTATAATATTCATGTTTATATAAAGCTCTATAAGATAATAATCTTGTTCTGTGAATGCCTCCTACACAGAGTTAGGGGACAAAATTAGCATAATATTCAAGAGAGACATTCTATCCTAAATCTCAAGGAGGTTGCTTATTAATCCTGAAATTAGTTCTAGTACTCTCTTCACAGTTTTTCATGATTATTTGCCTCCACTGCATTTTTTGTGATCCTTTCCTCCCCAGGTTTTTTTGTTTTTTTTTTAATTTTTTTAACCTTTATTCATTTTTGAGAGACTGAGTGTGAGTCGGGGAGGGGCAGAGAAAGAGGGAGACACAGAATTTGAAGCAGGCTCCAGGCTCCAAAGCAGGGCTTGAACTCACTGATGGTGAGATCATGACCTGAGCCGAAGCCAAACACTTTACCAACTAAGCCACCCAGGGGCCCCTCCTCCCCAAATTTTGAATTTTATTTCAAGATCCCTAAGGATAACAGTGAATTCATCTGCCATAGTGAATTACTTGAAATAGTCATCCAGTTAGTATTTGTCAAAAAGTATGTGTGGTATGGTCTTCACAGAGTTAGGCTATTTGATGGCAGCCCTGTATTGTTAAATAGAAAAAGTCAAGTTGGTATAGCAGAAATGGCCCATAGGTGAAGGTTTTGGAAGACCTGGATTCTAATTTGGACTCTGCTAGCATCTGTATAAACTTAATCACATTCTTTCATGTCCTTATTATTATTTAATGTCAAAGGATGCTGTTGAACTAGATCATTCCTGAGGTCCCTTTCAGCTCTCAAATAAATCTAAGAAATAGGTCTCTTAGGCAAGAGATGCATTATAAGAAAAATATTAATCTCTATTAGAAGCTTAATACTAGTTTTGACACTGAGAAATAGAAAAGTCTTGCTCCCAATGATGGAAGTCACCTATGGTTTCTTAACATCACATGTAAAATTACTTCCCTGCTGTACTCAAACAGGTTTGTGTCCCATCTACCCTTTTGATTTCCTGCTTGGGGAGAGTGAGAATTAATGACTAGACAGAGAAGTGAAGAAGAGATCACATACCCCTTAGTGCCCATTCAATATCATTGTAAAGCCAGGAAGAAGAAACTTCTGGAATTTTTTGTATCAGGCCCTGCTACCTCCTCTTCAACTCCCAAAGTCTTAAGATTAGGTAGCTGTCATCCATCACACCCATAGGCAGACAGGTGCACACACACACACAC